GACATAGTGTTAGAACTGAATTTTTAATTTTAATGATAAGAAATTAAATCCTCGCAACTTTAATTATCGAAAAAATTCACATATTTAAAGAGTTTCATTGTGCGAAATGGGCAAGAGAAACTGAAAATCAAATTTCCCAACACACCTAATCTATTAAAGATTTAATTTTCTTTTCCCATATCACATATATTTCATAAGTTTGCCAAGTGATTTGATTGACTTCCGTCTACCTTTACAAGTTGTGAGTAGTGCTTCTTTCTGTGTGTTGGCACGTTAAATTTTTTTTCCTATTTAAGCTTTTAATTATAATTTCACTGGAGTGCAGTCCTACGCAAAAGGCGAATGGATTTTTTAGATAAAAGCGAATTAATTTATTACATCCCCAGTGAGAGGTGTAGGATTTTGCACCATAGTTTTCAAATTTATATTAGATTCTTTTAATATATATTAATTAAGCTACCTAAAATTAAATGATAATAATATTTATATTTCGCAACTCTACTATATAAAGTGAGTTAATATTACAAATTGTCCCTGAATTATAATAAAATATTAATATGATATTTGAATATTAAAAATCTGTGATATGATAATACTAAACTAAAAATTTATTAACTAATATGATATTTGGATAGTTTTTTGTATACTTTGTATGATCACATTTGAAATTGGTCATATTAAGGGTGAATATCACATTAATTGATAAATTATAATTCGAATATCATATCAAATATTTTTAAAATTCAAATACCATATCAAATATTTCACTATAGTTCGGATACATTCATAACATTAATCCTTATAAAATTTTCAAATTGAGTTGGTGTCACAAGTATTAGGTGGAGTTTTAGGTTATCTAAAATAAGATCATTTGATTTGAAATGAAATAGTGGAGTAGGTATAAAGTTAATATTAAGAAATTCTTTTAATAACTTGATTTGATTAGAGTAAAAATTACTAATAAGTAATTTTAAATTAGTTAGCTTTATAAGTTAGATGGTGATCTAAGAGGGGGGTGAATTGGATTTTTTCAAAGTCTTCCCAAACAAATTATTTTAATATAGTTGAATGGAAATTAAAACAATAAGCACTTTTGATGAAAAATATAATGCAAACAATAACAATTAATGAATCTAAAATCAAATATAAAATAACAATAAATTATAAGGAGATAGGGATAGAGAAATCAAATACAATGATTTAAGAGGATCGGTATTTCCATAAGGCACCTATGTCATCTCTTCTTAGTTGTCCACACCAAGGCTTCAATCCACTATTCTTGAATTAAAAATACAACCTACTTTTTCTTTCTAAGGCTTAAATAGAAACCTCTACCCTTTGTAGTATTTTACCCAATCTCACTACAAAATTTTCAAAAAATATACATCACCTTTTTTCTCTTCCACCCTT